GGTTTGTCCTACTGCTGGGAAATGCTTCTGCACAATGTCCTATCAAGCAGACATCCAGAGCTGCAGTTTAAAATGTCACTCAGAAATGTTCTGTGCTTGCAGATGCAGAAGGGGGGAGGTGGCGACTGCCAGCTGTTGGGTTGCTCCAAAAGGCTGTTTTGTCCACTGTGAGACCCCCTTGCCCTCTCCAAAGATGCAGGTCCAAACAGGAGTTACCTCACCAGAGTGAAAAATGTTGAAAAATGTAGAGCTTCCCTTCTTGTCACGTTCCTGCTTGGCTTGTTTAGGCATTTTTGAAACTCCTCTAAGCCCCACACCCACTGTTTTGTAGCATCCTTAGCACTGAAAATCAGTCTCAGCATGAGCCTCAGTCTCTCTCTTACCAGCTTTCAGTAACAGTGAATGGAAAGCAAATCCAAATCTTCACTCCATCAGAAACCGCAGCTGCAAAGCTGTCCTATTGTTTCATAAACTACTTTTATTTTTGAGCCTTCAGACCTGTGGCACATCCTCTGCAAAGGTTAAATTTGAAATTAGCTGCACAAGCATAGGGAGGAAAGTCTGTCTGTCAGCATACTTGAGAGTCCCCAACCCCCTGCAAAACAAAATGGAAGTGTCTCTGGTTCAAGGCAGTCTACACGGCAGCGAGCTGCAGGAGCTGTAAGCTATTATTTTAGTTCCCAAGAAAAGTAATTACTATAGCAACCAACACATCCAAATGGCTCTTTGGCTGCTGCCGAGACACAAACAACTTGCACACAAAGGCACATCAGAAACGTGCTGTGTAAAATGTTCTCGGGTAGCTCTGTGTTTTCGAGAGCTCTATAAAATGTGCTTAACAGGCTTCTGAGAAATGACTGCCAGAGTAACAGCAAGCAATTGTGCCGTGCCACGATCCCAAAATAACCTAATCAATGGCTCAGTATATTTGCCCCTGAAGAGATGAAGCAAAAAAAAAAAAAAAGCAGAGGCTCCATTTTAAGCCTATATGCTGGGAAATTCCCAGCAGAGCTGAAGATACATTCAATAAACAGACAATAAAATGGTGGGGGAGCGTCTCTGCTTTTGTTCTGCATGCTGAGTCCAACTCCCTGCAGGCTTCACGTGCCAGCTAGTCCCCTCGGGCTTATACAGAGTGTTGGAAAACGGGATTTAATTACAGCCTTGTAATGCTGGAGGGTGTAAGAAGCAATGTCTGCCTTCTTTTCTGTGCAGCAACCAGCCCCCACAGACCATTTCTCCAGCTGCAGCGCTGGGCACATCGCTGCTGCTGCTACTGAACAAGGAAGTTTCTTGAGCAACAGCAAACTGTAGCTGTTGGCCATTGCTTAAGTATTACAGAGTTTGGAGCATCTTTGTCACGTTCAAATCAAGATGCCACTAGTGTGATAACAGCTTAAGAGCTCCTGGCCTCTTCCTGCAAAGCTGCACCACTTTGTGGTGCCAAAACACCCTGTGTTCCCCAAAACAAGAGATCTGGTCCAAGCAACCTGGTCCAGAAGCATTGTCCAAAGTTTCCCCATAGGACACGCACATCACCTGTCTCAAGGATGGTGAGCAGCATTAACATCACTCCCCTGCTCCATTGCAGAAAGCAGCTGTGATGAAAATGGAGGTTATGGATCTGGGTAACTCCAAACAGAGTTGGATCCTATAAATGAGCACAACACATCCCTTCAGAAACTTGAGTTGCCCTTTAAAATTATTTTCTTAATCAGTTGAGTCCTCAAGTCTTGGTCTGTGTTCAGAGTAAACTGAAAATCACAGCTGGATTTAACATAAAGACAAAACTAAGGAATGAAATGTAGTGATGTAATTTATTACAGAAGTGCCTTATGACCAAATTAAAAAATATCTCTTCACAGAGATGGAGTTTTGGTTGTAACTTTTTGAGCAAATTACTTTATTTTGGATTAAAGAAAAACATCAGAAAAAAAAAAGCAAAATACTTTGAAAAATATATTGAAAAAATAAAGTATTCCTACAAAAATAGCACAAGCGTGTATAAAATCCAGTGCTTCGCTTCTATTCTGCAAAATGGTGGCTGCCCTGCAGGCATCTGGAATTTCCAAACTTCTGATCCCAGAGAAATAAATTCTTCTCTGTAATTTTTCTCATAACAACCTTATTTTGTCATAGGAGTTGACTGTATGTTAAATGGCTCCCTCTCAAAAAAAAACCAAACCCAAAAAACCAAAAACCAAAACAAACATCAACAATAAAAATATTTTCTTTTTCACAATGTGCCTTTTTACCAGCCTTGTGGTGGGGGAAGGACAAGACTGCTCACAGGTTGACTTCCCAGTTTGCCTTTTGTACTAAACAAAAATAGCTTTCCTGGTGTAGAGGAGCTGGGACCAGTGGGACCAGGCACATAACCTGCCTTCATGTCACACTTTTTCTATACCTCCTGTGATAAATCCTTGTTCCTCACAAGCATTTTGCATTTTGGCTTGGGAAAGGCTGCTGCATTTTCAGTGAGAGAGAGGGCAGATAAGGGGTAGAGAGCTGATGCACTGCCTGGCTGCTTGTGCAGAGCTGCAAGGCAGAGGAGTGAAACCAAAGTCTCAGAGATGGATAGTGAGCTCTTCTGAGCACTCCCTGGCTGTGCCCTGCTGCCAATGCCAGGTGTGTTCAGGCCCAGTACTGCAGTTTTCTTCTGGAAAGAAAGGAAAGAACGAAAGGAGCTTTTGACCATTAGCCTAAGCAAATCTCAGTGCCACAGGGAACAAGGCCCCAAAACCCCACTTATGGTGAAACCAGAAAGTACTTTGGACTTGATTAGCATAAGAGATCTGATAGCCAGGATGCCTTGGCAGGAACAAACAGAGCTTTGAAGATTGACTCAAGCCTGGAGACAGGGAGAAGACTGAATCAAGAAATACACATTCGTTTGTATGTTTGTATGATGTTTAGCTCAACCACTGTAGTAAAAAATTTCTAGCTTTTCTAGAATGATATATAATCTTATGTAGCCCACAGTAAAATCAGATTCTGATCACTGAGTCAGTTGTCCCCATCTCTCTCCATCACCAATACACACTTTCTTAGAAAGAGGAATGACTGAAAAGAAAATCCAGTGTGGTGAGATGTTGAACAGGACTTGCTTGTATCCTGCCCTCCCCCTTGTCCACTTCCCCCATTCACCAGCAGCAGAGGGGCAGGATGCATGCAAAGGTGAGCCATGAGAAATCATCAAAGTCATGAAGCAGGACTCTTGGAATACCTTGCTCTGATCGTGAAGCTGACATTGCTCCTTACTGTTGCAGGGCTCAGGCTTGTGCAAGCTGGTATTTTCTAGTTTATCTGCCAGCTTGAAAATAGTGTGGCTGGTTCATGAACAGATTTGTCTCTGGTATTGCTTTTGCAACCACACAGCCTTAGATAGCCACAGGGGTTCAAGTGGTCTTGCATCTGTGAAGGGAGAAAATCAGTGTTCATGACTGTTACATCAGACAAAGAGTTGGATCTGGAATTCTCTGGTGTGAATCAGAGAAGTAAATCAAAATGTCAGCTCCTCTTATATTAAAAATCCCACAGCTTAATGAAATCTTGTCTTTTTCAGAGCAGAAATGATTCCTATGTCTGGAGAAATGCATTAAGAGAGAGATGTTGAGGGAGCTGAGGTGCTAAGGAGTGAACTTCTGGGAATGCTCTGCACATGAAAACACTCCATGAATTAGTTATAAATAGGACTGAGCTCTCATCCATCCATCAGGAGCCTTCCTTGCTCCAAAATTTGGGCTGCTCCCTATCCTGTCTCATATAGGAGGTGATATTGATGAGCAGAAAAAGGTATGTTTGCTTCAAATGTTGTTTTTGGATAGAGAGCATGGGTTGTGAAGGTGCAGAAGGAAACACTGGAACTGCCATCACTGACAAAGAAATGCAGATTTCCAAACCATCTCTGCCCAGCCCCAGGTGGGAGGTTTTGTTTCTGTGTTGGCTTGGAATTTGTAGTTGGTCTTGTCAAAAGATGATGCCTGTGTTGGAAATTAATACTTAGCAACTTCTGGTTGACTGATTGAAGTTTTTTTTGGTGGGAGTTATTGGTTCTTTGAACAAATTTTGGAAAAGGGCCCTCATAGAAATGCAACCATATCAAATTATAGGGAGGTGCTCTTGTGCCTTGCACTTGAGCCTTGCCAAGAGAGGTCAAAAACGTGCACATACATTACTGAAATGTTGCCAGGGTTTCCCCTGCAGACTGAAAACATCTGCAAAGACAGGCAGAAGGTATTTCAAAAGATGATGATTTTAATGAAGTCTGGGTCAGAGCCACATCTTTGATAATAACAGCACCCTGCCAATAACAGCAAATGCCCTGAGCCTGATTTACAGCACCATCAGCAGGCTCTGCCTTGTGCCTCTTGTGGAGAGGCTAAGGGAGGGCACAAGGGGAGAAAACACCATTTTGTCATGCCACGCTTTGCACGGGCCGTGACAGTCGTGTCCGTGTGATGGAAGTGGGGGAGAGGAGCTGCTGGCGGCCGTGCTTCGGCCCTCGAATTTGAGAGCTGGCGGCTGCGCTGCCGGCCCGCACCCTCGCTCCCTCCCTTCGGCATCCTTCCCGCTGCCCCCGGCATCCTTCCCGCTGCCCCCCGGCATCCTCCCCGCTGCCCCCCGGCATCCTTCCCGCTGCCCCCCGGCATCC